GAAGTATACTTTCTGAACAAAACATAGAATTCGGTTAAGTATTCTACGTGATATAAGCTTAGCAATGTTTTCTATTCAAATGATACAAATGGTTTGCAATTGTTTCAGTCTTCAATGAAGAAGCAAATTTTTTATTAATCATACACTATACTACAATAAAGCACTTAAGTCATATTTGTAACTAACATTTACTTGAGAACAAAGAAATTCTAGATGACAAGAATGAGAAGAGAAATACTTTGGTACAGGAGTGTATTGAATTACAGAAGAAACAATGAATCAGATAATTTATCTGAAGAAAATGTTTTTATTATTTTACCAAACATATGTATATATATGTATCTCAATAGATATTGACAAAAAAAAAAAGTAATTAAAATTTATAGTAAATATTATTATTTGATGCATGAGAAATTGCTACACCGAGTACAAGTGATGAGATAAGACCAAGAATTTCAATAAATAAAATAATACCTAATACTACAGCAATAATTGGTAATTTATTCCATGCCCAAAGAACAACTGTCTCAGCACAACCTTGATTAAATGGATTTTCTTTTGGTAATTGATTTGGATAACAAGAACGAGGAATATTATAACCAGATTGAATATAATCTGTATAACTATTAACTCCACAACATTTAAATTCTCGTTCTAATTGTTCAATAATTTTAATCATTTCAATTTCATTATAACGATAAGCTTTTTCAAATATTTCTCTAAAACCAGAATCATAAGTTTGCCATAAATCATTACGAAATCTTAATACTATAATAACAGCAGCAAATTCAAGTAAAATAATAAGACTTAGTATAACAGCATATACATATAGAAAAAGTCGATTTTGACATATTGCACCTAAACAGCCAAATGATGCTAAACAAGATGTAAATACACCAACAATAATCATGATTGTTCCTATCCATTGCATAGTTGCACCTCCAAGTGCTTGTGTTATACTATAAGCAGCTGTAATTGCACTAAAATTTCCATTGACTTTAATATAAATACCCAAACCCAATATTGAAAAACCAAGTATTAGAAATATAATATTCAATACAAATAATGTTATACGTGTACATTGGACTCCACATGAAAGACGAACCATATTTTGATGAATTTATTTTTAAGAGAGAAGATACAAAAGAATTATATGATGCATATATACTTTCTTTTATAGAGATAGATAAGAATATAATGTGTATTTAGATGACATATATTAAAGATAAAAACAAAGAATATATCATAATACACTAAAGTGTTATTGCACAATCAAAAAGAAATTTTTATTCTATATATATATTATTCACATGTGAGAAAAAAATTTCTGTCTTTCTAATTATGAAACTAAATCAATTGAAAAACTGATCAACAAATCACTTTTTTTTTGACTCATGTCAGTGTGTGTATTTCGTAATAACATCTTTGTTAGGCGACATTTTTCTTCTTTTCTTCCTTCTTACATAAATACCTTAACATGTCGGAAGCATCGTTAGAAAGAATGAGTAATGATGTTGATGTCGTTATCGTTGGTGCTGGTGCAGCTGGTATTGCTGCAGCTATTGAATTACAATCAACTAATTTAAGTTTTCTTGTACTTGAAGCTCGTAATCGTATTGGTGGTCGAGCATATACAGATGAAGAAACATTTACATCAATACCAATTGATCTTGGTGCTAGTTGGATTCATTCTTATGGACCAGAAAATGTATTCTATGATTATCATGAATCTTTTAATGTTAATGAGAAAAAATATCGAATAGGAAAATATGGAATTTGTTTTGATTATGATGGACAACATTTTACAAGTGAAACAATTTTTCATGCACAAATAATATATGAAAAAATATATCAACATTTAGAATTATTTTCTTATAATATAAAAAATAATGAAGATCTAAGTATTGAACAAGTTATTCAATCTGAATATGATCGATTAGTAACAGATGGACCAATTAAACGTTTAGTTAATCTTATGCTTTCAGGTGAAGAACAATATGAAGGATCTAATCTTACAGATCTTTCAGCCAAGTCTCATGGACTTGGATCAGATTCAGCATATGATCAATGGGTATCATTTGGTTATGGAAATTTATTAGAATGTATTGCTAAAAAACATAATTTATCAGTTCGATTAAATACTTTTGTTACACATATAAATACCACCGATATGAATCGAATTGCTATAAAAACATCGAATGATTCATCAATTATTTATTGTCGTCGAGTCATTATTACAATACCTTTAGGTTGTTTAAAACACGAAACAATTGTATTTGAACCACGATTACCTGATTGGAAACGTAATGCAATTAATCAAATGGGTATGGGTTTAATGAACAAATTAATTGTTCAATTTCCAAATAGTTTTTGGGATTCTGATATTGCCTCTTTTTCACATGCATGTAATGAACGACGTGGTCGATTTCGTTTTACTATTTGTTTGTCATCACCAGCAAATATTCTTATTCTATTTGTTACAGGTAAATTTGCTAGTGAATTAGAATCTTTAACAGATAATCAAATTCTTGAACAAATAATGAAATTTCTTAGACAAATCTTTTCTAAAATTACAATACCTGATCCTATCAATTATAAATTTACTCGTTGGGGACAAGATTCATTAGCTTATGGTTCATATTCAAATTTTGCTGTACATACTGGTCTTCATACTATTGAACAATTAGCAAAAGAAACTTCCGATGGTCGAGTACAATGGGCTGGTGAACATGCTAATGTAAATGATGGTACTGAAGATTGGTCGTATGCTTGTGTTCATTCTGCTTTTCAAAGTGGACAGCGAGCAGCAAAAACTATTCGAAATCAATTATGTTCTTCTTAACTATTCACTTTTTTCTTTTCTTTTCTTTTATTTATTTGTTATCCTAAACGATTATCATTGTTATACATTCAGAAAATCTATAAAGTCTTCTGATTATCGATTCTATACAAATACAATGAAAATTAGGAAATAATTTTATTGATCGTAATGATTTTTCTTCTTCGTAGCTATATACATGTTGAGAAGTATTTCAGTGAGTGAGGGTGTGGCATCATGTTCTTTCTGATTTCGACACACAGTTCACAACAAGACGACAAAATCGATTTTGGAGATTTGAGTCTACATCATAGCTACCATTGAAACTAATATGATACTGCACTTAAGTACATCTTGGATGTTACTTTATAGTTAGTACGTGTTAAACAGGAGGTATTACAAAGTACGTAAAATAGGTAAATGTCATTAATAGGATTATTTAAATAAAATGTATGTTTTGAATCAAAGGTCTAATTATATTCATTGTAGTTATAAAGTGTTATGTATTTACCGTATATTACACATCATTTGGACTTCTTGAAATCCTCTAGGTTAGAATAAGATTAAAAAATTACAATCAGTATATTAAAAAACTAAGCACTGATCAATAATTTAGTTATTTCTTCGAATTTTTTCAGAACTTAATTTCAAGTTTCAATTTGTTATTTGACAGATCATGTCAAAATCTACATTTAATAGATGCGCATTTAAATCCTTATTGAGATATATTATATTCAGATTTTATGTTGAACATTTTATTTTAAAACCAGTTCTTATACTCTTTCTTATGAATTAAATATATTGTTCAAGGACGTAAAATGATTTGTTCTATACTTTGATACTTTTTCCATTCGTTGAAATACATCGAGTTGCACGATCTTTTTAGATTTTCTTCAAGACAGATAATATTATATTGAAAGTGAATTATTTTTGTAGTAAGAGCAAATAAAGATTGTAACAAATACTATGAACTTCAAAAACTATGAAAAATTCGGAAATTCATTTTAATAGGTTTCAAAACATATTACAGAATGATATTTAGACATTTTGTTCTTTTTTATAAACTGCATAGCACCAGCAAGCTTATTTACATCTCATAATTAGGCTTCAATCAAACTGAACATCTCAATTTCCAATAGAGATTCTATGATTTTCTAAAAGTTTTCGATTATCAAGTATGTTTTAATTTGTTCTTGTTATATACAAAACTGTAGTTCTTCTGAGTTGTATGCATTGCCTACTTACTAAGTTTTTTATAATATTCTAATAAGAAGAATTTTCTAAGTAATAAAATAGTAAAACACATGTTTTTTCTAAAGATGTTTGACATATATATATATGTTTCACTATAATTAACAGTTACCTGCTTCAAGCCCTTGAAGAGTAATTAATCCTTAGCAACTTTATACTATACACAGTTAATAACTATATCACGTATATGAGGAAAAAAAAATTATTGTCACACTTCTGCTAAAAAACATAATACTGCAATAATTGCTTTTTATTGTGCTTATTCGCAGTTTTTGAAAGCCAAAAACTTCGTTTTCCAGAAATCTTTCGAGTAAGAGAAGCTACATAAGCGCCAAATGCATGTAATACACAAACTGTTAAGTAAATAGCTGCAATCGTTAAAAAGATTGCTTCTGTCTTCCTATTTCTGTCAACTGTGCGGCAGTGAGTAAGTATATGTAAAAAGAAGATTGATATCTAGATGTATAATCCACACGGACACCTACACGTATTCACATGAAACAATGTATTGTCTCATAGTTAGTTTTGTTCTTGAATATTTTTCATATTCTTTTATCTATTATTCATATATTGTTTCATGAGATCAGTACGATAACTATCTTGAATATATTAAATGCGATAGTTTAATGTTGCAATAAAAACAAATAATTGAATAGAGATAAGAAGAAAAAGAATTATTGCATTGAAACAACAAAAAAAAAAGACTATCGTTTATCAAATGTAACAACTTAAATAAATAAAATATTATTTATTGATGCATTTTCATTTCTATATTAGATGTAGAATCCTACATCGGACTCAAAATAATAAAAAGAAACTTTTTCAGAGTTGAAGTAATCGTTAAAAATTTTGTTTTCCACAAGCAATCTTGAAGTTTCATCAGTAAAAACAGTCAAATAGTTTTAACTCTTACATAATTAAAAGTTTATTCTGCATATAATATGAACAATAAAACACTACTTTATACACTTATAAATTTCAAGAGAAAAAAAAAAAATCAGAATTTGATTCAGTACAGTTCTATTTGAAACATACTCATAATTATTATAACTATTCTGATTGTATCAACAATCTCTATTTCGACAACTTTTCTTTTTATTTGATCGAAAAATATAAGAAAAATTTATTTGCTTGCACATATACATACATCAACATCCGATAATATTGTATAAGATAAAAAAGAAAAAATTACAAATATTGTCCTAGGTAAAATTAAACTCGTGTGCATTACGCAAACATAGCACCTACTCGTTTTCATTCATTCATATTGTCATGTATGCATCAATGAATTCTTTTGCATGGACATCGGAAAAATGATTTTCGAAAGTATTTTTATGAATAAATCAATCAGAATTTTAAATTTTTTTTTTTTCGATTATTCAATGTCGAGAGCGAACAATTATTATTCTATCAAAAGAAATGCATAAACTAAAAATTTCTTCATGTTTTTTTTTTTTTTATTATTGAAACATAAGTTAAAAGCATAATATATTTATACTTTGCTTAACATCTATAAAGCTTGAAGATATTTACTAAGACAAACTAATGTATACGTTCGAAAATTTAAAAACTTCTTAAATTCAACTAGATTTCAATTAAAATTGAACATATCTCAATCGATAAGATTAGTTCTTTATTCTTATATTATGTGAAACACAATCTTAAAGAAGTATACAAATATATAGAATAGAGATTTACATCCCTCTCTCGTACACGCAGACGTTATTGATATACAATCAAAGATCATACATTAATACTCCCCTCTTTAGAATATGTATACGTATGTTTAGCAACAGTAGCTACATCATGTTTCATATTTAATAATCCTGCAGAGGGTTCACTCATACCTTTTTCGATTTTTTTAAAAACTCTGTTTAACTTTGTCTGACATATTAATTGTACAAACGAGGCTACATGATTGATAATCTATTTTTTTGTTATTAGAAAAATAAAAATAAAAACCTTTGTATATAAATTGTCTTTATATAAGGAAAGATCAAAAAAATATGACGAATGTATACATAGATGACATTTAGAAG